TCGGCCCGGCCCGGCCCGGCCCCCTCCTCGCTCGCTCTCGCCCGCCCGCCCGCGGCACAGCCCCCTCCGGCGCGCCGGCTCCGGGGCGCGCCCTCTGCTGCTGGGCAGCCTCTCCCGCAAGCCTCCGTCCAGGCGCGCCCCGCGCCGCGTTCCCACGCTCGGCCGGGCCGTTCCGGGAGAAGGCGGCCCCTGCCTGCGGGCATCAGGGCAAACCCGGACCGGGCGCGCCTCGGTTGCCCCGCGCCACCTGCCCGGCCTCCTCCGGCCTCCGCCCCGCGGCGCCCCTTCCTTCCCTCTCGCTCCCGCCGTAGACACCACGCCAAGCCAAGCCCTCCGCCGACTGGGCTCCGACGGGAAGCGCCAGTGCCCACGGGATGCCCGGGCGCTCCCCGCTCGGGCTGACGGGCGCGGGTTACGCGCCCCTCGCATCCCCGCCAAGCAGGCCGTGGCCGCGTCAGGCAAGGGCTGCTCTCCTCCGCTGCGCTGGAGCTGCCACACAGGCACAAGCGGGGCTTCGTAAGCGCTTGGCAGAGGACCAGACGAGAGCTATGATCGGAACTCGCCACGGGCGGCCCAGAGCGTTTGGCACAAGCTGGTGGTGAGACTCCTCTCTCAGCCTGCGTCATGCAGCGTGAATCACGCCTGCCCGCGTCCTTCCAACTTGAGAGAGCTGGTAAGGCGTTGGAACCCGGAGGCTGCTGACCCATGTTTCAAGTGCAACTTTGCCGTGTGAGCAGATGCCCAACCGGACTCAGACGGGGCCAAGCCTTTGAGCACTGGTCCCCACAAAGGCATCAGCATCGTGACGCATGCATGCTAAAAGCAGGGTGCGCTTTCTTTGGCCCTCTCTGGCTCATTTTTCTTCCCGCACAAGCCTTTGAGAGGCCTCCATGAGAGACAACAGACTGGATTTGGTGAGGAAGGAGTTAAATTCTCAAGACCTATATTGTCTATTTAATGGGTATCATTGGGCACATCGCTACCTCAACCTCTGGAAAGGGGGAATGACATGAACAGCGGTGCACCATTGTGGCAGAGGTAAACCAGTTACGGAAAATGGTTGTCTCTCTGCATAAAAGATCAAAGCCTACGAATCTCGGTTCTACATTTGTTAAGTATGTGCAGCCAAGAATTCTGCTTGCAGAGGTAGTTACCCAATCAAGATGTTTTGTGAAAACTCATCAGGCTTTTCCACTATTCTGCAGAATTTAAGGACAGCTTTGGACATGTAAAGCAGTAATGAAGAGAGGTAGTTTGTAGAATAATACGGCCAGTGTGAGCAAGCACCAACATTTCTAAGTGTGATTATCTGTCTTTGTACGAGGAGTTCAAGTCTTTCTGTCCCAGACAGCCAAGACCGTACCCCTTAAACTCAGGAGAGCTGCATCGGAAGACATGGGGGAAACCCAACATTTTCAGGTGCTAAATAAATTGCTCAGACCTCTTCATAGGGTGGGGAGTGGTGGCAATATGAATACGAGGTCCATAGCATGGGATGCTGAAAAGAGTCAGGGCAACGATGGGACTCCTGACAGCCAGGTAGGAAGGCAGCAATGGGCAAGGGTGCAGCGAAGGATGCATAGAAATGTTTGGAACGGACGGGGCCTGTTGCTGATTCACACTGAGAAATTATTTTAAAATGTCCACGGAGACGGGACTGAATTACGATCATGTTCTTAGCTGAGATGTCATAAAATACAGCCCTCAGCTATCCCTATTTTATTTGATGCATTTTATTTATTTATTAAAAAATTTTGTATGCTGTCCTTTATATAAATATCTCAGGACGACTTACAGCACTTTAATAGAACAGTTTAAAAGCATCTAATAATATCCAGTAACAATTAAAATGATAGTACTGTACAGACAATAAATAGACACCAAATAAATCAGATTAAATCAAAAGTGACTTCAAAAGCCATTAAAACTATTAATTTTTAAAATACCGCTTAAATAAAAAGGTTTTGACCTGGCGCAGAAAAGAGTATAAACTCAGTGCCTGGCGTACCTCTCTGGGGAGCGCATTCCGGAGTCTGGGCGCCACAGCAGAGAAGGCCCTGCTCCGAGTTGATGTCCTTTTTCCCTCTCTTAGAGAGGGTTCCCGGAGCAGGGCTTCTCCCGCAGATCTTAAGGGGTGTGAGGGCGTATAAGGCAAAGTTCCCCCCAAAGCAATTTCCTTGTAGATTTTCCTACTCAAACAGATAACTAGCTTCTGCATTCCAGGGAATGATTCTTTCCAGTAGGTGCAAGTTTTGTGGAATTATTTCAGTGCTGATCATGATTAACTGAAGTATCAGTTCACGATGCAATGTAAACTGAAAGCTTTATCTTTAAATACTGAGTTGTTTTCCTGAGAACCATTTCCATCCAGCTTGGTGCAGCGGCTTTCCAGATATTTGTTAGACCAGTTATGTCACGCTTGTTAGGTAATTGATATGGCAAAATTATATTAATTCTCATTTGTTTATTTTTGTGTTGCAGCTTTCAAACAAAATGGCACTCACAGCTGTTGACAATGATAGCACTGAGATTAAAGCAAAATCTTCATTAAAATATAACAGAAAAAACAAATTTAAACCGCAATTAAAACAACAGCAGTGAAAGAAATAAGCAGCACTAGGCCCATTAAATCTCTATTCCCTTCTCTGCTTTTTGAATATCAAATATTTAAACGTTTATGAGTTGCCCAGCTGTGACATTTGCATTGTGGTGATGGAATGACGGAGTCATAGTTAATTATACTGGCACATACGTTTAGGTGTTGAGACATTTAAGGAAGGTCAACTAAGACTTCTCCAAGGAGATCTGGCAGTAAGCTAAGACATAATTATTCTGATTATAATTCAGCCTCCAAATAAATGTAATACAAGGACTACATCTGCTTTGAATAGATCACATGACTTTGCACAGTGGCTTGTCTGAGATAATTACTAAGTTAATATTTAAGTAATAATTCTTATAGGGACTGAATTAATTCATAGCTGAGGAATAACCCTCCCTTTGTGGTAACACTTTTGCAGCCTCTGAACACATCCAATATCCTTTCTTTCGTCACTGTAATTTTTTTGCCTCTGTTTTCCCTTTTAGTGCCTTCAGCTTCTTGTAGCATTGAAATAATATTTCTGGTATGCTTCAGTGTGTGAACTAGGGAATTACCTAATTTGTGAACTAGAGTTAGGGTTAGATCTGCTGACTTTTCCTTTTATTTCCGGATTTTAATTTATAAACAATTTTGTTCTGGGCTATCATTTTATGGCACACCTTTTCAGTTAGTGCCATCTCATACAACATGGTGGCTATTTCCATTTTCACCATTATAAAACAAAACACAAATAAGCTTTTGCAGGAATTAAAGTTGCTACCTGTAAATTCTGGATCTTTTCCTGACACAGACCTCTAAATCCCAAACCAGGAAGTCCGCTTCAGACGTGACAAAATGGAATCCACGGATATTCTTATGAGAACATGGCAGAGTGAGTTTTGGGTTCGGGCCAGTTTGTTACAATCACCATAGCCTATTTCAACCACAGCGCGTCGTAGGGTGTGTTACTGGAATTGCCATATGTTGTTGTTCCAAAAATAAGCAATCGGCAACCCTGTAACAGACCATGTTGTGCAATATTGTTGTATAACGTGCAACTTTAAGGGCGCTTTCAAACAACCCCTGCCAGAAAACAGAAGACAGACTGGGCTTGAATAGCTCTTGTGGTAACAGTTCCCCAATGTAAGTGACTACGCTCAGGATGATTACATACAGCAAATCAGTCTCTGCTCTTATTTGAATATTCCAAGTGACACAATGAGAACTGAAAGGGCAGTTCAATGTTTTTGGACAAGAAATCTGCATCGTGTCATGTCTGGAATCTATCCCAAGATGTCAGTGAACTCTGTGGAAATGAGCACGGCAAGCAAGCAGCGCTGGCGAGGGCAGCTCTCTCCGTCCCCAGTGTGATGGTGTGAATTGCTCACCAGCCCGGCCTGCAAACCTGCCATCTATCGTGCTTTGTAGTCATGTTGGGACTGCAAATCTCACCTCCTGCTTCCAGGTGGGGGGATTTTCTGTTGGGATCACTGGGCATGGAAGGGGAGGCAGGGACCTGCTCTCCTCAGGTGTGAGCCAGATGGGAATGGCTCCCCACTCCGTACTGCAAGGAGGAGTCAGAAGCAGCCTCCCTCTGAGACTTTCACAAGCTTTCCGGAACCCCTTTGCAGTTCCACGAACTGCCAGTGCGCTCTTATTAAGATCAGATGACGTTGCAGTGTCCAAAACCGGCAGCCAGCTGCAGCGATTTCCTCCAGTTTTCTTTGCCCCTTCTGGCAAATCTATCTCGTTTGGGCCGTATGTGCGAATGCACTCTTTCCCTGCAAATCTCCGTGTTCTTCACGTAGCCTCCGTGAGCACAGTAATCCCATAAGCAATTACTCACAGCTGCAATTCACCGTGGAAGTGCGCTTTTATCCAGGAGACAGAATACTTCACATATACTCCAGTCCTCCATCAGCTTCACTGGCTTCCCATTGAAGCCCGGGCCCAATTCAAGGTGTTGATTATGACCTACAAAGCCCTAAACGGCTTGGGTCCTGGCTACCTGAACGAGCGCTTACGTCCGTATATGCCCGACCGCCCTTTGAGATCTGCGGGAGAGTCCCTTCTCCGGGAACCCTCCATGAAAGAAATTAGGAGAGTAAGTACCCGGAGGAGGGCTTTCTCTGCGGTGGCGCCCAACCTATGGAATTCACTCCCCAAAGAGGTCCGCCTGGCACCATCGTTACTGGTTTTTCGGCGCCAGGTAAAGACCTTTTTATTTAAACATCATTTCAATTGTTAAAACATATGATCTGGCCTGGGCAACTTCTTCTTCCTTCTCTTTCTCCTCCTATATTTTTATTTTATACTGATAATTTTAATTTTGTATTTGTAAATCAATGTATTTTTTGTATTTTTATATTTAATGGTAATTTATTATGTACTATTGTATTTCAATGTATTTTATCATGTTGTAAGCCGCCCCGAGGTTTCGGCAAGGGGCGGCATAGAAATGTTATAATAATAATAATAATAATAATAATAATAATAATAATAATAATAATAATAATATACAACCACACAGTTGTATTTTTGTCCACATACTGAAGATGGCTTGTCCTTGCCCTCTCCCGCCAATGTGCTAATTCAGCCCAGCTTAATCCTTTTTATCTATGCATTGCATTTAGGCACTAAAGAAAAACGAAGCTTCTATGTCATTGAAATTAATAAAATTTTAAAAAAGAAAAAAGAAAAACAGGGCTGGAAAAATGTTTTTAGCCTGTCAACCTGTTTTAAAGTACTATATTTATCTCCCTCTAGTGGAGAAACACATTAAATGCCTGAAAGCGCAAAGAACTGTAGGAAAATAAATGGAAATGATGCTGACTACATTTGATTTCTGCAATTAGCAACTGCGTGAATAGCTTTAAACAACTAGGCGTGTGTGTGTGAGGAACTCATCTGGGTTGGGGTCATACGGTGGGCGAACTTTACCCCCAGTTGGGTCTATATCCGATCCCCTAAACTTGGAAAGAAAGCTTCCTTTCTATTGGAAAGCAGGCTTCCTTTGGTATGAATACTCTTCCTTCCAGCGCAGTCCTTCCAGTTTGAGGGCCAGACGGAACCTGAAGCAAGGGGACTGGGCTTCTGCTTTTGTCGGAGTCTGAATTTAGATTAGGGGTGTGGCTACTGTGTTTAAAAAGTGATTAATGATTTCCACCTGGTCCAGTTTGGCCCTGAGTAAACTACAGGATGAATTCCGATGCACCAAAATTTATTATTTATTTATTTATTTAAAGTTTTTCTATGCCGTCCCCTTGCTATACAGCCTCAGGACGGCTCACAGAAATAAATAAATACAAAACAAATAACAATTACAATTAAAACCTGGAAACACACTGGCTGCACGATTAAAACCTATAAATATTAAACATCATTAAAATATTGTTTGAATAAAAAGGCCTTGGCCTGGCGCTGAAAAACAAATAACGACGACGCCAGGCGGCCCTCTCTGGGGAGCGCATTCCACCGATGGGGCGCCACCGCAGAGAAGGCCCTGCTCCGTGTGCTCACCCTCCTAATGTCCTTCACGGAGGGCTCCCGGAGGAGAGCCTCTGCTGCCAATCTCAAGGGGTGGGAGGGCAGATATGGAAGCAGGCGTTCCTTTAGGTATCCGGGTCCCAAGCTGTTAAGAGCTTTATAGGTGATTACCAACACCTTGAATTGAGCCCGGACTTCGATGGGAAGCCAGTGAAGCTGGCAGAGGACTGGGGTTATATAACGCCCCATCCCCGTCAGCAACCTGGCTGCTCTATTTGGCACCCTCTGAAGTATCCGGACCGACTTCAAGGGCAGCCCCACGTAGCCCACATTACCACAGAGTGTAGATTTTTGAATGGGGACTGCTATTTTTCTGTACAGACTGCTATCCTGACTCCCGGCATGCTTATTTTTCTATCTATATGCTGTTTTTCTTGCAAAAATGAGCCAAGGCGCTAACAATACAGATCAGAAAAAATATTAATTAAAATCGAAGAACAAATCAAGCAACGCAAAGAGAGAAAGAACAACACCCAACCCATTGAAACCCTCTGGCAGCGGACTAGCTTACCTACTAAAGGCCTGAATGAAAACGTCTGTGCCTGTTGCCAAAAGGGCAGCAGGGAGGGATAAGGGCCAGCGGTCGCTTGCCCTGGAGGGGCCGCAAAGGATCTCGCCCACTGAACATGCTCCACTGCCTCGAAGGCCTCATGACCAAGGCAGGCTGGACAGCGAGAGCGCGGCGTTTCAGTACCAAGTTCCTGCTACATCCATTCGCCCTTTTTTTTTTAAAGGGGAAAATGTTTAAACCTTGCTGACATTGCTGACTCCAAACATGCAATTATGATAAGTTTTGCTTAAACATCTTACGGTGTCTATAATCCCCACACTTTTCTGCAGACAGTAGAATTTAACTGTTTTTGTCATGGTCAAAAGTGATACTCCACCGTCCAAATCTTTTAGGTAGCAGAAATTGTTCTTCTGTTCCTGCAAAGACCAGGGACGGTGCGGTCAACAGCTGTTTGTGTGTGAGGCCTTGGAAGATTTTGGACCTCTTTCCTCTTTAACAAAGGCAACTGCAGGTGCATCTGTGACACACCTTTCTAATAAAACAGACTGAAAGCAAATTAATTTGCTATGGCCAATCTAATTTCATATTAAATCTTCATATACTTTAAAGATTACAAAGCTTTTGCCATGTAGGAATGCAAGCACAAGACCAGACCAATGTGTACAAAATAATTTATTACAGCATTACATCAGTTGGCTTTATTTTACAGTGAGTTTTCATTCAACTATTGATCCTAAACAGATGACAGCGGAAACTGCCTTAATGATAATCATTCATCTTGATAAAACTTCCCTTCTTGACTTTTGCATAGGGCCTAAGCAATATTAGTTAAATATTTACATTAACCACAACATGGAAACAAACTGGTTTCATTATTTTTCAGAAAATGGATTTCTGTACAAGCCACAGTGTATTTTAAGTTTTCAGAGCGGTTTATATGAAGTTGACATTAATAGCCATGTACATCCTGAAGTAAGATGTATGAGACAGTCGAACTGAAATGTGCTGCATGTGCAGTTCAGGCAGGTTAATGCACCAGAGTACAAGGAACAAAGGATTAACTGTGATTTGTGGTCAGACTCGTTGTGCTCACTTTGTTTTCAAAAAGGACATCATAAATGCTAATTGCTTTATCGCTCATAAAGCAACGACAATTCAAGAAGAGTGGAACTGAAGTTTACTTCTTGCGAATTTTAAAGGAGCTTAGCATCATAGCAGAATTATCTAGATAGGACTGTATTCTCTGAGACTGCCTGTTCCCAACCCTCTTTTCTGAAGTGGAAAAATGTTTCGTAATGGCCAAGTTGTAAAGAAAGAAGAATCTAACCAGTTATAATGGGTACTGAATGTTTTTAACGTGTTGAATAAACTGTTCAAACAAATGGGTATGGGAAAAGTAGATCACATTTTTCAAAATAATATACCAATTTAAAAACAAACAATACCTCCAAATTAACCTGTACTGTTTCCATACAATTTATATTGAAAGAAAATTGCTACCACCTATAATTAGGATTTATGCTTTGAAAGGAAGAAAGACAGAACGAAACAAAGAAAGGGGGAAAAGGAGCGGAAAAGAATAGATACGGCATGCAGCGTTACATCCATCTTAGTTTGCCAACTTTTGCCATCTGAAATGCGTTTAAAGAAATGGCTGTATTTATCAGTATATGTAACAACATTTATGTGAATAGTCAATCTTCAGGCTCCATGATTTAGGATAAAAAGATTTGTAACTGTACAAGTATAAACATGACTAGTATTATTCAGATAAGTGTTTACATAAATATTGGCAGCTCTTGTTGAGGGAGAAGGAGTTTGCCGCACGGTCCGTCTGCTTTCCGCGGACTCTGCGTGACACCCAGCGTGTCCTGCCGAAGACCACGCGATCCGTACTTAGCCAGTCCGGAAGAGGTGAAAGCCCTCTAGATCTGGCTTTAAATTTCATTGGACAGTACACCATGATTAATGGCCATGTGATTCATTGACGCGAAGGAAGCATCATCTTCGTTTGTGGGCGTCATGAAGGCAGATGCTAAGGGAAAGAGTTTGTTGCATGCTATCCGGTACTCCTCGCTCTGGGTGTGGCATGTTCCAAAGCTGCCATCGAGTAAGGATTCCAAAACCGTTGTTAAAGTCTGGACAGACACATGACAAAATAGTTCCAGTGAGGATTAATTGGTGAAGACGTGTCCCAGCCCACCAGTTTCCCCTTCTGTAGCACAATTTGCTTTCCTACGGAAACTCACTGAGACCATCTGAAACATTCATTTCAAACCACGCATTTAAGAGGCATACGGCTCATGAATGCATCGAGGAACCTTAGTTTTATTATTTCAGTAACGATTTACCTTCACATTTTTGTCTCTCACAGTCTCGTCTAGTCTGGTAGCAATAGTGATAGCTTTCTCTTGTCTTGAACTGTCCAGGAAATACATCATCTTGGCACCTAAAGAAGCAGAAAGAGGCATGTTTCAATTAAGTGGGAAATGGATCAAGGGATTTTTATAATTTGATTGGAGACTGTGCTGATGTTCTTATGTGCTAATGCACAGAATCCACTAAAGAAGCACAGCATAAAAGGAAAAGCAGTGGAGGAAAAAGAAGTTAAAAGTGTGATTTAAGAACCTGGCTTGTTCTGAACCTGGTTTGGATGAAATCATATCCTGGTTTAATTGAAGCTTGTGTGTAAGGAGGACAGCAGAGTCTGCATGCACAGGCAAAAGCTGATTTTTATCTTGGATTGTACAGCTGAGATGTGATTGCCTGTCTTCAACCTTTGTTTATGAGCCTCTGGTAGACATGTGATTCTTTGCTGTAAGAAGTGAAGTGCAGGCCAGATGGGTTTTTAGGCCAATTGAATAGGACTCATTTTGCACTTTGCTGTACATACTTTCAGTCCTACAATCAAATACTTTAGAAATACGCAAGTACAAACCAACCTGATAGCAGATGCCGTATGGAGGTAGAATTGCGCTTAAGAAATTCTTCATTAAAACTTTCCAAATATTTACTAGTAAAGATCTTCTGCATTTCTTGGGTTAGGACTTTGTTCACAATTTCTGGCAAATTACTGTGATCAGACACTAAAAATACATTTAAAAAACCATGGTTACACTGTTGCCAGCATTGGACAAAACCGGCACTGCTCGCCCTCCCTTACAACCCTTACGCACAACAGTGCAGCAACCAGTCCGTGTATTGATATGGCACTTACCACATTTTGAGAATCTGATCAAACATTCATGTAGCCACGGGTTATTACTGTCAATCGCGACAGCTCTTTTAACCGACTGCAACATTAACAGAAACTTTCCTGCATCAACACAAGAACACTAGTTCATACAATTTTATTTGACATCAAATGCTTGATTGTCTTGTCTGGGCTTAATGAATGTCTCACCCTCGCCACACCTACCCTGCACGCATGTGCTCTCTTTTACTCATGAGGCACACGCAAGGCGTGCGGACCTGCATCGCTTGAGAGAATGAATTAAAGAGCGAGTGTCTGCAGGGGCGTTACAGTGGAGAAACAAGCATAAAGGAGTCAGCACAGTGTGAGGCCAGGAGGCAAGGGGAGAACAGGCAACAGTGCGATTACATGCGCTTGGGCTCAGTTACAAGAAGAGTTTGCAGACAAGGAGCCGAGCGGAAACGTAACGGAAAAGGTAACTGAGGAAAGTATGGCAAGAAGTCACTTCGGGAGTAACGGTGGCTGTGTGAAGGTAACAAGCGAGGGATGTGCGGGGACAGAAACGTGGAGAATGGGAGAGGCAAAATCAGGAAGGGTTTGAAGATAATACCGGGCAGCTTGTGAAGGGTGTGGGGGAGGAGTTAAGGGTGGGCATGACTTTGTTGGAACAACAAGGAAGCAGGATTGTCTTCACAGCAGAATGCTAAACAAACACGAGGAGAGCAAGCTGAGGCAGTGGAAGTCCAGAGATGGCGGCAGTCAAGCTGAGGTATGTCCACGGTATACACGAGGGCTTTTTCCAAGGGGACCACAAGGGAGATAAAATTCTTGAAGTGTCGTAACGGGGAAAGCAATGCAATTTGGTGATGCAAGGACTAAAGGAGGGCAGGGAAAGAAAAAAGGGAAGAAAAGAACCACAAGGGGTTAAAACAAGGCTTTGTGCTTGTTTCAATATGGCCACGTACATTAGATTATGATTATGAGCATCTATCAGATGGCAAGAAACCAACTGGATTCATGAAGCAAACTAAACTCATTTCATTGCTACCATTAATGATACATCACATTACACCTAAAAATATAAAACTGATTTACACTTTCTGCTAGGTTTATCTAAATATTCATTTTAGGGAGTACTGGGAAAATGTACATATGCAATTATGCCACAATGACCCACTTCCAACCTTACCTTTTCTAAAATAGATTTCAAATGCTAACAGATGCGTGTCTATGTTATCTGCCACAAGATTCTTAAGTGGTATAAGGAATTTAATAGCTTCTTCTAATGGATTATCAACCTGTTTCAAGAAAAGAAATCTGAGTTAGTTATAAGCAAGGGCCATGACAACTTATACAGTGGCGCCTTGGCTCAGGAATGCCTCAGTTCATGGCCAAATCGGGTCGCAAACAAACATTTCATAAAAATTTTGACTCAGGTTGTGAACTCCGCATTGGGTGGTGACTGCAATTGCCCCATCTCCCCCCACCCCCAACTGGGGAGATGGCCCCGATCATGCTGGGGGTGGGGGGGGGGAGATGGCCGAGATCGCACCCGTCTTTCCTGCACAAGCGTAACCACGATCTCGGCCATCTCTCCCCCCAGCACAATTGCGCCCCCCCCCCCCTGCCCATGCTTGCGCCCGTCTCTCCCCCGCCAGCACCGGGATGACAGGTGTGTGCAGGGATGACTGGAGTGATCGTGGTCACGCTGGGGTGGCGGGGAGATGGCCGCGACCTTTGTTGCTCTTTGTCACTTTGCCTCACGTTTTTCTGATTAAAAAAACCTGAACCTTATGGGGAAATCTGACTTGGCTCGCGACCAATTTGGGTCACGACCAGAGTCCTGGAACGGATGAAGTCCGTGGGCCAAGGCACCACTGCAGCTCCTACAGATGACGTCGGCTTCAACCTGACTTCGCACACGGGGCAATGGCAAGGGTCGCTCCCGGCACCCTCGGTCCTCACCAGAAAGGAGCGCCTGGAGGCTTCTGAAGACGCTCGGCACCCTGGCCCGTCTTCCAGCCGCCCCAAAAATTACAGTGGATTTTAAAACCACAAAAGGGCCACCAGTGTCCATCTGATCAGACATTCAGATGTACAGCACTGCATTCTTTATCTGCGCCATTTGTAATGTTAAATTTTAAATGACAGGAATTTTAATCTGGTTTTAACTATTCCACAGTCGCATTTTGATTTTGCTTCCGTTTTTGATTTTGATTCTGTTTTGGTTCTGTTTTCATTTGTGAAATGATATTGTTGGTTTAATGCACATTCTTAACGATTGTTAATTGTTGGGTTGTTCGTTTTGATTTCTGAAAGCCTCCCTGAGATGCTTCTGTGTATACGGTGGGGTACAAATACTTTAAATAAATAAATAAATAAATAAATACAGTATGTGCAGGTGGCTGATCAACTGTCTCATTCCAGACTGAAGAGCAACTGCATGCACACAGTTTGGTACTGTGCAACTTGTCACAGCAGTGTGAAAACGGCTCGGCCTTCTGGCAAACGTTCTGGCTTGACTTGAAACAGTGCTTAAAGGCTGCAACAGCATTCTGCAGTGGAAAACTGTGAGGCTCAGGAGTCCGGATAGATCTGGATAAACAAGCATAAATGAGGTCAAAGCAGAATTCAAGTTTACCCTTTCCAGTTTTTCAGGAACTAGCTCTTCCTTGGGACCACTGGTTTCCTCCTCTTCCTCGTCCCGTTTCTTCTTCTGATTCTTCTGCTGTCTCTCTCTTTCCGCATGCTTTCTTTCTTCTTCGAGTTTAGCTTTCTTCTGTGCTCGTCTTTGCTTACTAAGCATTTTCTTAAGTTCTTTGGCAGAAAGGTTTTCTACCAAAAATGGAACATGTTTTTAAATAAAAGCTTTACAGATGCTGACAAAGTATCTTATATTCAAAGTAGCTTCTATAACTGCTTCAATACCTGAATTTACTTCTTGCTCTTTGCTTTCATTGGCTAGTGGATTATCGTGCAGCGTCAGATAAATCTCAATCGCTGACCGGGCAGCCTTGAAATAGAAGGCGTGTTTCCTGAGAACATCTTCCAAGCGCAAGAGGTCAACATAGGCACGCAGAGTCATCTTCCTCATGCAATAGGTGTGGAAGTCAAACTGATCGTCCGTGATCTCAAAAAAGTGCTTCAACAACAAACATAAAAAGATATATTTTCATGATGCAATTTCTTTCTTTACACGTTTATTACTTTAAAAACCAGGACTGCTCAGCAAGCAGCGCTCTCAGGACAGGGATGCCCTTGGCAGGCACTGAAACCATGAAGGAATTCAAAGAATTCCAGCGAAGGCTCTTCTCCCGGTGTTCTCTGGTTGGGAGATGGGTCTGATGGAGCCACCACAAAACCTCCCCCTTGAATTCCTGCTTCTTGCCCCACCTAGCCTCGTAAAGAGCGCTGGAGAAAGCAAAAGCCTGCGCAATCTTTCGGTTGGCTTTAATACAGGTGCTGCCCAGCTGTGAGCTTCAGATGTTTTTCTCCTGAATGAACACAACTGTTTTTACTTTTGACATACAAGCACTAAGTATCCAGTGTGGAAAACCCTCGCAGCCAGAGTCTTGCCAGTTCGGGCTAGTGGGAGAGCCACTGACAAACAGCCACCTGCTAAGCCACGTCCGTAGGATTCCTTCCTGCAATAAGTTTTCATCCGTACTATGTCACAAATGCAAAGCTATGAGAACACGGGTGGTGGTGGCCTTTCATATTCACATTAAAAAAGTCCTGTTTATTAAAACGCCCCTAGTCCTTTTCAGCCCAGGGTTTACAACCACATGGCGAGGCCTTGGCTTCCTCTCCGGCTGCAAAGCCCACGGGCAAGAACGATGCCCCTAGCTGTGACAAAGAAGATGGTCAGCAAGTTCTGCTAAGGGAGAATCACATTCGCCATCCTCTCCTCGGAGTGGCCTCCTCGGAAAGCCGGTTGCTGAGCACGTGCTGTGCTGCCAAGTGCCAGAAACACACTTGATTACAGGCTAGCTTTCCGTGACTACGCATAAATGTTCCAACATTTACTTTTGTAGCACGGAGACACTGTGAAGAGCGGGATACAAAAACATTAAGGACATAAATAAAGGGGCGTGTCTAGAGTTACAGGTGCTTCCGCTCTCATGCCACCTTTCAACAGAACGATCCTCTGATGCCAAGCATAAAAAGCCCGTGCCCCGTAAGGAAAATGGGAGCAAGGAAAAGGCGAACTGTTTACCTACTTACCCTCTCTACTTCGTGGCACTTTTTCAAGGCATCTCCGTATTTCCCTAATCTCTGAAAGGCTAGAGCACACTCCGTCTGGAACCACATGCACTGCATTTCATTGAGATTCTCCATGGCAGAAGTTCCTTCCTAGGGAAAAAGAGTCTTGTGTGGAACCAGAAATTCTTTAACTTCCATATAGAACAACCCACAAGACAGAGGAGCACTGCCACTTTCTAAACACTGCTGCAGTTATTTGGACAGTGACTACTTTCTGGATTCCCAGTTGTTCCAAGTGCTACCTTCCCCTTTTCTGAAGACGTTGTTCAGCAACAGGTTTCAAAAAGTGAAGCACTATTGGGCATCAAAGGAGTCTGGTCGCTTTCACTGTAAGGGAGGCCCCGAGATAAGGGAAGCGCTTGGAAGTGACCATTGGGTAGCAAGCGGTGCGTAGAAAGAACTGCAGATGGGCACTTGAGTACTTAATGGCTGACTTTTCAAGAATACGGGGGATTTCAGTGAAGAGTCCACTAAGTGAAGAGACAAAATAAAACATTCCGCAGTCCTGTACATATCGACTTGGTGATAAGTCCCACTGAGTTCAGCGGGGCTTATGTCCAGGTAAGGGCGAATACAAAACAGAGGAGGACAAATATCAGAACAAAACAATATGGAATTTGCCAATGTGAAAGTAAGACTCAGCTGGGAGGTACTTTCAAAAGACTTACTGTGCAGTCCTATAAATATCTACCCACTCCGTTCAATAAGGGTTACCCCGAAGCATATTAGTAAGGCATTGCAGACAGTCCCTTGTTTCTGTTAAATCTGGAGTTTAGGATTAGCTAAAGAACCACCAGACTGGTGCCTTTCCTAAGAGGTGCATACACGGACATTAAGTGCTTCCACGGACACGCAACAAGTACGTTCTCCCATTAAAACATTCAGCTTCTTCAAAGGGTTGTCCTAGAACATTTTAGAAATTTATCTCCAGTAAAACTGAGGCTGTCTTAGAACATACCATCCTATGATAAAGTTCTCCTTACCGGACATATTGGACAAGTCATTTGGTAGACCTTTTATGGTAACAGTCTGAATCCAACGAATTTTCGAACATAAACAAATACACAATCAAAATCCAGTTGTGCGTGTGTGTCTTACCCTTGTGAACTTGGAGCACATTTCCTCTGCATCCTTCACCATATCTGTGCGGAGCATATACTTCGCACATTTGGAGTTGATGAACCTGTCAGCCGTGTCCAGAGACTGTGCTTCGTCCATCCATTTGGCTGCCTCCTTGCGATTGCCGACGTGCTGCCGAGGGAGTTGCACGTTTATTTTATTACGCGTTTATTTAAAACGTGCGTATGCTGCCCACTGCGCCACGTATAGTTTAATGTAATAACCAGTGGCTGATGTGTTTCATGTAATAAAGACAGGAACACGCAGAGACTTTCACAGGGATTTGTCATTTTTCAAAACTTTATGGAAACAAAACTTCGGCAAATCTTATACTACATTATATGAAATGACAGAATCAGAAAACAGTGTTAAAAACTATGAAACGGAGCACATTAATGGAAAAAAACATAATAAAAATGCCTTTGTTTCTCAAGACATAATAGCAACAATTATTTGGGATGGAACATGCAAAAAACTTTTTTGCTTGCAAATGTTGAGTAAATAACCTTCTGAATGAAAAACAAACACGCAAACAAAAACATTTCCTTAGTACACAGTCCACTATTTATTTTCAAATAAAACAACACTGGAAGGCTAAATTCTCCAATAATGCAATGGGCTGAAGCCAGGATAACCTAGTCTTTGAACTGGTGGCTTATCTGAATATCGATGGATGCTTATTTATATATTTGTCTATTTTTGTTAAGGCCTATGTGAAACCGCTAATAAGTCGTAATTTCATATGTATCCATTGCTGGATGTACACAAATATATCTTTGCAGGCAAGAACTCAAAAATAAACAGACTTTGATTAAAACGATAATAAAATGAGTACAAACAAAAATGCAACAATAGAATAAAAACTTCATCCAACCCAACAGGCCTCGTTACATATCAAACTTTCCAAAAAGTGCTCCTCTGGAGTAGGTGGTGACAGAAAAAGACTATTTCTGTGCTCTCTATCACCACAAAATGAACGGATCCGTAGCTGTGCTCAAAGTCTTCGGCCATTTACGTTCTAACTGTCCCTGTTATCCTTTCTTTGCCCTAAGCTCCCTGGAACTTGAAGGAATGGACATGGGACCAGTGCTCTGGCAGAGCCTCGATTCCTCAGGGTCTACCCACAAGCCAACGTGCTCCCGGCCCCCTCAAGCTGAATGTGGTGCTGCACGAGGGGTGCATTTTGAGAAAGGTTCCTGCCTCCCTTTCCATCGGCCAGGTGTCCATTGTTTGAGCCACTGCCTAATTTAAGCATGATAAAGTCTGGATCCAACCCTTATATATTTCGAACAGCGTGTGCTGAACACAGAGTTATTACCTTATAAATTTTTGCTTTCAAATAGAACAACTCTATTAGCGTTGGAGTGCTTGCAACTGCAGAATTAATATATTCCAAAGCCAAGGAAAACTGACCAAGTTTGTCAAAGTGCTGTGCAAGGAAATAACGAACCCAAAGCAGCGTTGTCGGGGGCTCGCGCTCTCCATTTTCTGTAACGACACATGTAGCAGTTCAGAAAATATGGGAAAACATTTAAATTGGAGACACATAATTAAATGCTAAAATGTTTATTTCTGTTTCAATTGTGATATTTCAGTTGCAACACTGAAACTTACCATATGGACTAAACAAGTCACATGTTTTCAAAGAGGCTTCGTAACCAGTAACAAGCTCTTGGATTAAAGAAACCTAAAAAGATAGTTGACAAGTTGATTTTTAAATGTTAATATGATGATCACACTAGAGGCGGGTTCTCAAATTATCAAGATACATCACATTTCTCATCAAATAAATAGTATTTCTCAAGCATTAAGAAGAAATTTTACACAACCACAGTGTTCTTGCAGTGGTGGCGCACACACACACACACACACCAGATTCATTCCCAGACAAATCAGGACAAGCGCACACTTAATTAAAAGAAGTGATTAGACACATCCATCCTATGATCTTCTGGATTTGAACCTGAATATCTTTGCAGCAAGGACAAAGGGAAGGCTCGCTTTCTTCCGTTAGTTTGCAGCGGCCGAGTTGCTGAATGCTTGCTCTGTTTTGCTCACTGCAACCGAGCTTCTTCACGAATTTCGCCAATAGGCGGGTATGGCAATACATATCACAATATACATATACATACGTATAATGAAACTTTTGTCCTTCTGCAAACCTTTCCCATGTCTGCTGATTCCATTGCTCCTCTGCATGGAGAATATCTACATTTGGCTACATAAATATCCGAGCCCTGAGAAAATGTTTGCAATCAGTATACAGGGTAGTGCAAGCGTCAACGTTCAGTGTTGAGACTGACAGTACGGAACATGAAGCAGCATTCCAACTGCGGCAGTGCAAGGGTGGGGGAAGGAGGCGTGTGCCTGGGGGCATGAAGCCCAGGTGGAGGAACTCAGCCCCAAGATCACCTCTGCTCACTCAGGCAGGGAGGCGGCTGAGCTACGGGGTGGGCAGTGCACCAACAAAGTCCCCAGCCTGTTCCGATGCGGTGCTTGCCGACAGCTGCACTGGAACCTCCACAGGCAGGTCTCCGCAACCCTCAGCCTGCTGGATTGTGCCTGCTGGGTTAAATTACACCACCCCCATCCAACCCTTACACACCGAATCAACCTGCTCACTCAGGGTTAAGTCCTGATTTAAGGAGGTCTTCCCTGTTACTGATACAGTGGCATTTCCCCCGCCCGCAACGCAGGTTGACTGACGGAGTAATCAGGAATATGAGGTTGCTTTTTGGAAAACGTCTAAACACCTCATCTCATCTTGACGAAAGATGAGATGCGAACAAGTGATGCAAGTGACATCCAGGCCGATGGGCTGTGGTCCTGCCCACAGGTATTATAAAATAACCCCCCTGAGCCCACTTCCAAGTAAACAGGCACAAGACGAAGACGTAATATGCAAAGTTGCAGAAGCCTGTAAAAACCAGACTACACCAAGTAGTGCCTGGAAGCAAATTCTCAAGTGACGATGGCACGCGAATGGAACATGCAGAGAGGAAATATAAACCGATGTGAAACAGCTCTGTTCTCCCTTTCTTAGGCATCTAATGGCTCTCTGAATTTGATGAATATCCCAAACGAGTGCAAAGCAAAATGAAATCAAGACAGACAGGAAAGCAACAATAACTGGCAAATTATCTGAAAAATACAGTGGTGCCTTGGCTCATGAACGCCTCAGTTCACGACCAAATCGGGCTGTGAACAGAAATTTCATAAAAATTTTGCCGCAGGTCTTGAACTCTGCATCGGGTGATGATCGCGAGTGTGCCCGCCTTCCCTGCACGGGCACGATCACGGTCATGTGTGTGTGTGTGTGGGGGGGAGAGGGCCGCAATTGCGCCCCTCTCCCCCCACCCCCCTGCACAATCCCTGGGGGTGGGGGAGATGGCCATGATCTTTGTTGTTCTTTGTCACTTTGCTTCAAATTTTTGTGAGTAAAAAAAATAGTTGCAGAACAGATTAACCTTATTTACATTGACCCTTATGGGGAAATTTGACTCGGCTCACGACCAGTTTGGGTCATGACCAGAGTCCTGGAACAGATTAAGTTCTTGGGCCAAGGTACCACTGTACAAAAAGCTATGATCATATGCATATGTAGGAAACAAAATCTGATTTTTACCTTCTCTGTATCATGATATAAAGATTTCAAAGTGGTAAACAAGGGTGGGCAGCCTTTACTGAAGTTTACCCTCAGGAACTTATCCATTAGTTCTCTAAATTTTTCACCTAGAAACAAAATTGCATTTGGTTACACTCTAAAGATGTAATGTCTCCTATTTTCACAACTGTTAGAATCTAAAAGACATTGACAAGAACCATGCCCCACTCATTTTGAAATTACAAATCATTCCTGCTTTCAGAACAAGACTTGCAATGGGCCTTTCTCAGAAAAGGATGGTCAAATTTGCATAATTTAAACAGACTGCAGTTAGAAAACATAGAAAACAGAGTGAGCCAGAAGGGGCCTCCCGGGCCATCCAGTCTGACCTCCAGCACCAGCCAGCTCCGCTCACGACATGCCCACCACGTGGACATCCAGCCCACAGTTCAGTTCTCTTTGGACTGCCAGAGCACAGAATTCATTTTTTTTTAAACAGAATGGAAGAGTAAATGTGTGCACTGAATCAGTGACATCCTGAAGGGGTCCACAAAATGACAGCCTTTCAAGAGAGGCTTCATGCGGATTCCAATTCCAATTCCTGAACCATTCTGGATACTAGCCAAGATCACTCTGAGCAACAATAGCAAAGGGCAAGTCTACTGTGATTAGACATAAAGTACGCGATGAAGCCAGCCAATTGGCCTCTGACTGACGCATGTGCAAGATCATCTTTTGGCACAGAAAGGAGTTAACTTAAACCCTTCAAGGCAGTGCGGTGCAATGGTTAAGGGTGTGAGACTAGGACCTGGGAGATTTAACAGGAACATTTAGATCAAATTCTAATGCAGGCCAAATTTATATCTCCAAAGCATTTGGGCTTTGTTTAGTCAAACCTGCAATATAAAATTCAGAAGTTCACTGGGTTGAAGGGCAATCATCCAGCAGCGGTAAAAATAAGAAGTATTAAATAATGGACCTTTTCTAGATAGCTTCAGAAAGTTGTAGGCAACGTTACCTGTGACAAAGTTTAAAGGCAATCGTCTAGGTGAAACTGCTCTTGGATGTCTCTTGCTTATTTCTTCATATACTGCTAGTCTCTCTTCTAAAGTGTCTAGTGGTGAACAGTAAATATAAAATTGAATTTTTTTAGGTATGGACTGAATATCCATTTTAAATTACCCAACGTGACTAGTGTAGGCGCTACCAGAAATTTCAGCAGCACATTTGCCGTGATTAAGAGCTACTGGCTCTGGAGAGGGAAGGGAAGAAAAGCATCAGGGTAGTAACAGGCAGGTCAACGGAGTTGGCCGACTGGAAAGACCTGCTGTTCGGACAGGCACCACACCTGTCGCTATTCACACGCTATCGAGTGAGCAGCACGACAGGAGAGAAAGCTGAAAGGCCCGTTTGTGCCATAAAACTAACCAGTGAGAATTAACATGCTTTACAATACTAAGGTTTTATTTAGGGATGATATGCTGACATTTTAAAGAAGTCACGATGTGTTGAAAACATTATACTCCCCGTTTAAGTTGTGCGCACTCTGAAAGTAACAACTTGGGGCACAATGTTCGCTTCCATACAGGCACCGACAACTACTAAAAATGGCAGTGAAATCAAAGTGACTGTTTTCAAGGACAACAAAAAGTATAACAGTTAAAGCGCTGCAACATTTCATTCCCATTAGGAAAAGTCATTTAACTCATGAAGCAGATCCAAACAATGAGTTTGTTTTAGGATACATGGTTTCAACTTCAGACAGACTGAAGTAGTTAAATATGATCCATTACTGTGAACAATGACAGTCAAATACACTTTTTCCTTCCCACAAGATCTAATGTTCCAATTTCTACATTTTTCAAGATGTCAATTATTTAACAGACAAAACTGCCCCGCTCACATGGCTGCAGAGCTTCCTCCAAGCCCTCGTAGTAGTGCCAATTTTCTGCATTCCGATCAATCAGCTCTCTGTATATTTCCGAAGCCTCTTTTAGTCTTCCGAGCCTCAACAAGACTTCTCCTAAAACAATAATAAAATCCCAGATCAACTTTAGTGAAGGGAAAGGACCTACACATGGAAGGGACCATTACAGCTGTAGAACGAGAAAGGCCGGTTCTTAACTGCGGCCATTAGGTTGGAGCTGCTGTGCATGCATTCTATCCAGCAGCCTTCGCCCAACCAAAATGCTTTTCTAATTCAGTTTCTCTCCAGCCTGAACATGCCTGCTTTGAAAAGCTTCGGAGTGGCAATTTTACATAGCCAAGGTTCTCAGGTTTACCACTTCCTGCACAGGACACAACCGTTTGGAAACACCTCCCACTGCTTCCATCTTTCAATGCTTCCAGCTTTATTTCCTAAGCACTCACTGGCCTCGATCTGCATTGTACAAGCAGAGAAACAGCAGTGCATTGTCGCCTCCACACCTGCCTTTTGTCCAAGGAAAGGCAAGTTGTGATTGTGGTTCTTTGCACGGCCATGCATCCCATACGGGTGACGCATGGGGACCGAGAAGAACTCAAGGCGGCAACAACCGTCCATCCACCTACGGGTCTCCTGAATGGCCAGGTGAGGCGGGACGGGCTGAGACGGCCGAAGGTCACCCAAGGGACTCATTGCCGAGGGGCTTCCCTCAGGGGCTGCTCTGGGATGGTCGGAGGGCGGCAAGCCCTTCAAGTAAGCCATGCCACGTTCTTGCCATGCAAATTGGGACCTCGTCTGAACTCGAAGCCTGTGGCAGGAATGGCCACGCCACGCCACCCCACCCATTATGAAAACGACTGCAATGGATGTGACGGAGGTGGCATTTTAAATCCGGAGCCATTTTTACTCTGCTTCAAATTAACTGAGGTTACTGAGTCGACGTGTGTTTGTACTTATTTTTACACATATTTTCATTACAAAAAGGACAAAGAGGCAAGGGAGCAGTGAGATCCGCTGCTCGGGAAGCGATCAACGGCTCCCTAGGAAGACCCACTGAGAAGCGTGGATGTGAAACCCGCACTTGTGAACTGGAAAGAAGAACATCGATTTACCTTTGATCTCGTCCACCATGAGCTTATCACAGATTTGTCTCTCGTAAGTTTCTACATGCTCCAGAGATTCTTGACACAGGTCTGCCTCTCTCATCACTTGGTTCTGGTACAATATTAATTCACTGTACTCATAGTCAATTTTATTAGGAGGAATCTGGAAAACAACAGTCTAATTAACATAGCGCGGGGAGACATGAGTTTTCTGTTCATGAAGAGACACTGGATACCTGAATTAGGTACTTGGGCATAAACCATCATTTACCATTTGCCTTGAAAAATCCAGAGCAAAAGCTGATTTTCTCGATCTTTCCCTGAGCTATGTGGTGCTCCTAATAAGGTTTTGTACTCTACAACCAAGTCCCAACTGAAAAATGTAACTGCTCTGTATCAGTGGGTTATATATTTCAAGCAAGCTATTCATATTTTAAGTAGTTTATTTTTTAGGTTGATACCCTGTCTTTTTCTTTTTTAAAGAACTCAAAGATGCTTACATCGTTCTCCTTCTGCTGCTCTCAGTCTTACCCCCACAACAACAACCCTGTGAGGTAGATTGGGGTGAGAGTCTGCGACTGGCCCCAAGTCACCCAGCTGGCCCCATGGCTGAGCAGGTACTAGAACCCAGATCGCCCGAGTCCCAGTCCCACGCTCTTGGACCATATCGATATAGTAAGCAAACAGAGGTAAGCAATCTCACCTTGTCATGCATTCTAAGGGGAGTGCATTATTTTGTAGTCAGGTATCTCTATCCAAGAACAACACAGTTTGAGAGGAGTGGCCCCCACTGAAATAGGTCCAAGGCTTAACGAATTTGCCCTCTACCTGATTTATTCAGTTATTTACAGACATGTATCTCCTGTCCTTCTGAGAAGCGCTCGGGATGGCTTACATAATATAAAATTACACAGTACAATAATAAAACCTCAATTATTAAAACCTCAATTTTTAACCTTTATAAACTACGCTTCTTCCACAAGCCACCCCAGTGTGGTATACTAATATTATAAAAAGAAATACAGTACAATGCGACAGCAATGGCCATGCTATCCAAAAGCCTGGGCTGACCATAAACAGATGCTGTGAAGAATCTGAGTGCTACTTGACAACGTGTCTTGGTGCTTTAGGATGCCGTGGCTTAATGCAGAGGAAGGGGCCCTATTCGGTTCTGGAGAAGCTCTCAGGGCCGGGTTCCAGCAACGGGCGGTGCTGAAGGCAAATGGGACAGAGCAGGAGGCAGAAGGGTTGGGGTGGAGCACTAGACGGGCACAGTGTCGATCAACAGGAGCTAATCGTTTGAAACAGCACTTCAAGATCTAACAGGAACAAAGTGTAGAAAGGCTGGAAACTACAAAATGATTAGTAGCAACAGGGAAGGGGGACCCTGCAGGGCTGGATTTGGCCCATGGGTCCCCAGCCCTGGCTTAGGGGAAAGCAGCTTTGGCCATACAAAAGACCTGCTCAGTTAAACATCACACGACTCTTTTATAGACGGCAAAGCCTGGTCTACCCACCACAAATAATTCAAACAGCACTGCTTCCTAGATCTCCAGCCAGAAAAAAGACACACTCAGTTGCAGGTGCAGCCCTCTCTACCTCTGTTGAATGTTTGACCTCAGTGTTTAATATACCATCATATCTGGTAGTCGATTCAGGTTAATTCTTTTGGTAAAGGCAGGTTGCTCACCCGTAACTGTCGTTCTTCAAGTGGCCATCTGTGCATCACACCTATGGGTGCTCGCCTCCGCAGTGCCTGTGGCCGGAAAGATTCAAGAGCTGCACGGTTTTGGCGGGAACCCTGCATGCTCCCGCATGGTATAAAAGGGCGGAGCGCCCGCCATTTCCTCAGTCCGCTGGAGACCGACTGTTTGCCCCCTCGCGGAAGTGAGCGATTAAACAGGGGACTGTCGGACCCGAAATTTTTTTTTAAACCATTATCGAGAAGAAAAAACGGTACAATATAAACCCATCCACCAACACCAAGCGGGGCCGGCGGGTGGGTTGTGTGACTGCACAGATGGCCACTCGAAGAACAACAGTTACAGGTGAGCAACCTGCCTTTCTTCGTTGTGGCCTCTGTGCGTCACACATATGGGTGATTAACAAGTTTACCAGACCGGGAGGTGCGGGAGGTGCCATTAATGAAGAGCAGAAGAAAGGTCCGTCTGGCCGAAGGAGCAGCCGTGCCTGGCACGCACATCAAGGCGGCAATGCCTGGCGGAGGTGCAAGGAATAGTGTGAGTGGCAGCCTTGCAAAGTCCTGGATTGGAATGCCGGCAGCAAAAGCAGAGGAGGCGGCTACCGCCCTCGTGGAGTGCCCTCTGACGCGACAGGTAAGTCGAGTTTGGGAGCTGATACGCGACTCGATGGTCTGCATGATCCACGCGGAAAGTCTCTGCGAACCAACAGGACAGCCCTTATCACCACCCGAGTCTTCAAGAAAGAGGCGGTTGGATTTGCGAAGGGACTCCGTGCAAGGCCTGTAAAAGGCAAGGCAACGACGAACGTCGAGAGCATGCAACGACCGTTCTTTTGGTGTAGCAGGCAAAGGGGAAAAGGCAGGTAACACAATGTCCTGATTGATATGAAAGGGAGACCCAACTTTTGGAAAGAACGCTGGATCGGTACAGAGAATGACTTTCTCCTTACGACAGTTAAGGGAAGGCGGATCTACCCGCCGTGCGCAAAGTTCACTAGCCCTTCTGGCAGACGTGACCGCGACAGCAAAGGCAGTTTTCCAGGACGGCAGACGTAAGTCAGTGGTTGCCAGGGGTTCGAAAGGAGGTCAAGTAAGTGCCTGCAAGACGACTGAAATGCTCCATGTAGAGATAACTGGTCGAAGTGGTGGCTGGAGATTCTGCAGACCCTGGAGGGTCTGAGAGAAGACCAAAGAACCCTGCACCTGCCCCCGATAGTGGGAGATTGCAGCTGCATAAACTTTGATGGAAGATGGCTTGTCCCAACTGAAAGAGTGATAAGAGAAACTGAAGGATAGTTTCAATGGAGGCCGAAGAGATGACAAAATTGTTGGATTCAGCAAAGGATGCGAAGCGCTTCCATTTAGCCGCAGAAGACCGGCGAGTTGCAGGTCTTAGGGCAGACCGAAGAATGAACTGGACATCGGGACGGAAAGTGCTCGGGTTCGATGAGGAGTCTGTCAGTAGCGACGAAGAAGCAGCTGCCTCGGGACGGTGTCGGGCAGGTGCAGAAGTCCCAGGATTCACCGGTACCGAAGTATCCCCACGGGTCATCGAAGGAGCCAGGCTGGGAGGTTGAGTGACGGGAGATCCAGGAGGCGAACAGCTCCGCACTGCTGAGTTATGAGATGAGGCATGAGAGGCAGGCGGAGAAGGGAAGGGAACCACGGCTGACAGGGCCACCGGGGGTGATCGGGATCCCTGTGGCACAGTCACAGACGATCTTGGCTAGGAGCCTCGTAATGAGCGGAACTGAGGTTCCATCCACGGTTCCATCATTGCCCGGCGAAGGGTAGTGATCGGCAGCAAAATGATGGCGGCAGACTGTTCAGCCTTGACAATGTTGTAAACCTTGTCTGTGTTAGGATCGAAACGGTGCTGGGCCTCAGTCTCGAGTGCCCTCGTAAGTCTCGCCATAAGCGCCCCAAAATTCACACAGGGCTCCTCCGGCGAGCTGGGGCCCTGTGTGGAGATCACTGCGTCTGGTGACGTAGATGCCACTTCAGAGTCTTCTGAGTCCGAGTCGTAGCGCAGCGGGAGACGAGAAGAGGAATCGCCAGGCGAAGTGGGGCACCTGGACGGAGTCGCTCTTGAAGTCGAGGGAGTGGCCCTCGGAGCCGGAGAGAGGGTATGCTCACGCGCCGAGGCGTAGTAGCCGCAAGGTGGATAATCATCCCATGGCTCGCGATGAGGCGGCCGGTGGGGTGGGTGCACCCATTCTTCCGAGGGCCGGATGGAGGCACGCTGTGGGTATCGCACCTGCGGAGGAACAGGCCTCAGAGAAGGCTCGAGCGACGGCTGGGGAGCTGGTGAGCGAGCCATGGCGGAGAGTCTCAAATTGGCGGAGAGTCTCTGCCCTTTTATACCACGGGGGAGGAGGGATGCGGAGTTCGGCTTCGGCGAATGGGGCGGCATGAAAATGTTTTAATAAACAAACAAACAAACAAACAAACAAACCGTGAAGCTTTTGCATCTTTCCGGCCACGGGCACTGCGGAGGCGCAGCACCCATATGTGTGATGCACAGAGGCCACGGCGAAGAACACAAGGATGGCCGTGCGGAATTTGATATAATAAAAAACGTGAGCTCAGTCAACATATTCCCCTGGTTATATTGGCGCCTTTGTTCATGAATTAATACTCAGGGTAAACTTTATTCTTCGTTTTATTTACTAGCTTGGCTAATGTGGGTGCTTTTGTTGCGAAGTGTGTGATCAATTAAACTGGATGCCAAATAAATGTGGCAAAGCGTGGGACAGTGCCAGACAGCAACCAGGCGCGTTTATTTATATTGCGTCTCTTGCGTTAGTTGTAACTTTGCAAAGGCTACAGCCAAGTACATGCTTTGTTTGTGTGTTTGTTTGTACAAGTCCCATCCTAAGACTCTTGGCTTCCTTTAAAGAAAGAAGGTAACTTTTGTTTCCTACATGCGCCAGAAACAAAATGCCACACTGCAACTGTGTGGGAAATGAGAAGAACAAATTTAGACGGCTGAGGGGTGGCAGGGCATTTTTTAATTTGGATTATTTAGAATTTCAGTGCTCAGAGCAGAGCCTGAATATCTTACATCATTCTCTGCCTTGACTGATGACCAAAGTTGAAAGGAAGCCCCCAACTCAGTGGGACTTGTTACCACCCAAGCATGCAAAGAGCAGACACAGGATGGCATGCCATATTGGGCAAAATAAGAAAATATAGTCAAAGTTGTTGAATTCCTATGACTTATACAAATGCCACAATTCAGATATTTAAATTCAGTGCGCACAGATCACCAGCCACTTATCTCCCTATGGATTTTCTGTAATTATTTAGAAGAAACAAGCTATTACACTAAACATGATAAAAATTTCACAAATATCAGAAGTGGGTTTTTTTCTTTTGTTTTATGTCCCAGAGTGCTATAATTCTAAAACACAATAGGAAACCGTCGCACGTTTTGTGTACAATAACTGCAACGTTTTCAGAAAATAGGTTTTACCTGCTGCGTTTTTCTAAACTCTTCCAGTAGCTTTAAGGCCATATCATAATCTTTTAATAAATGGTAGGCAATGGCATAGCCAATCCACGAGGCCCTCTGGGTGGGCCGCAGCTGGAGCAGCTGGTACCTGGTCTCCTTTAAACAGACAATGAATAAAAGTAAAAAGGGGACACCACATAATCCAAGTCTGTTGCTCTCAATTAATACTGCAAAATAATCTAGTTCATTGAAAAAGGATTAAAGCTTAGCAGAAAAGAAAAACAGTCAGAAAGGGTCAACTGGACCTCTTGGTCAGTAGAGTTAGGACTACAGTTCAACACTTATTCCAAATATGTTTACATAGAAAGTAAATGTATATACTTGCCCTTACCACTTCCCTAGGATAAAATAAAACAAGGAAGATGGAAACCAAGCCTAGTCCTCTATTTCTTCTAATTAAGAATAATGTTCTGTATCATTTGTCGTTCCTTGTTTATAATTTAAATTCTATGGTTGGATGCAGATTTAGTTTTGGGTCTACGACACAGTCCAACTTAATGAAATCAATGAAAATCACTGAGACTTCAGTTAGCATGACTAACTTAAGCCATGCTGGTTTCAACAGCACTGTCTGAAGTCTAAGTCTGGATCAAACCCAATGTCTCTAAGAAGGTACTAAGATAATGTTGATATATACATTTCTCCAAGCTTAGCAACAGAACTCTCAACTCCAGTAAAAATTCAGATCGCAGTTTACATCTCCATACAAAAATTGTGGTTCTAGTGAAGATATGTAAGTTACTTACTCTGTATCCTTCAAGATCCCTCATTTGAATCTGCAACAGTGAAAGATCTCTTAGGATTTGAAGATTGTCTTTATCTAATTTCAGAGCATTTCGATAGCATTTAATAGCTTCATCATATTTTTTATCAGAGCGCTGCAAGAGGCCATAAACATGCCAACCTAGCAGAGTTAAGGAAATGCATAGATATCTGCTTTTTTATGTAGCCCTGAAAGGAGTCATTAGTTAGTTATTAATCATGGCTTTAAGGGTATGAACTAACAGAGACATAAACCCTTCTTGCATTAGATGAGCCATGGGAATGATCTGCAGAACAGAAAAAATAACAAGGAGCTAACCATATCATGGAGAGCGAACAACAGCATTTTATTAATCCTTTTGCAAAGGTGTTCAGTACAAGCGATATGGCTGCAAATACTCTCTCCCAGAAGTCCCCCTGCCCGTCACTGCAAGCTGAAAGAGAAGTAAGCAGCCCCAGAAGCAGAGAACATTGGTGGATGTTGCCTTTCATCCATTCAGGACTCCATTAATAACACCAGTTTTCAACAACACTGGCTGCTGAGAACAGCTGCATGCTTTTTCATAAAACAAACACTGTTCAAGTTCACTTCCAGCTGCATCTTTTTAAGAGACTCCCCTGCAAACAGAAGGCTTTCCTGTTTCCCACTGCATCTCTTCTAAAAATGAGACTGTCCGTACCCTGTGTGTGACAAACTTCCAATTTCAGAATACTGGAAGTATTCTAAGTAACTCACATTATATATTAATAATAAGCTATCAGCAAGATGCCAACAATTTATCCATCGGCCATTAATTCATTCCATTTGTTTTAAACTACAGCAGTTTCTAAAAACTCAGAGCAGTGTACTGCATTATTCAGTTTCCAGTAATATGATTAAGAAATTGGGTTAGCTTATTGTGACTTACTCCTTGTCGGGAATCCACTTTTATAAAGGCGTTAATATGCTGTACTTCAGAATCCACTAGACTTCACAGATTACATTTTCAAATAATCTTATTAGACAATTTGCTATGGCTTAACTCATTATTCCAAAATAAAATGTTATGTACCAAATAAGCCACTTGTATATTTGAGAATAATTAAGGGGAGGGGAGTGTTTTAGCAAAAAGAAGTTGCTGAACCATTTGAAAGGATACACACATGACTTTTTACATCATTGCGAAGCCCTTTACGGACAAATTCATATGCTTCTTCTTTCTTTCCTAAACAATTCAAGGTCAGCCCTTTCATAGCCAATGTCTCTGTAAGAAAGATTGGAGAAGTTATAACTATGAAAAGTCACACAGTACAGTAATAATCAGTTTCAAGGCAGTTCAGGAATAATCATTTCATTGCCCCAGTGCAAGGACCTCTGGGGATTCAAGTGGTTCAAATCCCACCCACGGGCTTCTTCATTCCCACCTCATCCTCAGAGCATCCTTAACACAAAAGACCCATGCTCTGCATAAAGTAATAGAATTGGGCACTGACCTCCATGTTCAGCAAACTTTGGGTTGGAGAGGATCATCTTGCAGAATTTAAGTCCATTTTTGTATTGTTTTTGTTCATAGCATTTCTAAGGGGGGGGAAACAGTAACTCAGCATTACAATCTAGATCGAGCCACTCGTAAAAAGGATAAGGGTCTACTGTACATGTGTATAACTAAACATGGAAATACGGGGATGTTTGGCCAAGCTGTGGGGCACAAGGACGGCTGCCCTGAAGGGGGTCCCTCCCTCCTCCTGCCTTTGCCAGCAGACTCAGGTGAAAGTTTAGAAGGGCAGTTCTTGTATTAAAGCCGAACAGGTTACAGAATCGAAGTAGAAGTCTGGGTCCCACGCTCTGACTGGGAATCTCCACCTTAGGGCCGCCAAGCCCTCTGTCCAGCTTGGCTCCTCTGCCTCCCGCTCAGGATCAGATGCCTCTACCCGAGCTGATTCCAATACGCAGGCCCTGGGCCCCCTCCCAACAGCGGCCGGTACGCTATGCAAGCTAAAATGGAGAAGTGAGCTCATCCGCAACAGTAACAGCAAACAGCAAAGAAACACTGCAAATATTTATAAGACGAAATGCAATTAGCATCTCATTCCCTGTTAGCTCTTCTTCGTAACAAGCAGAGATGGGATGAGGGGGGAAGTGGGGAACTCCGGTTTCCCAAATACAGAACAGGCGAGTGGCAGCGAGGAAGCAGCCGAGGGGCAGCCTAAGCAGGACGGAGGGGACTCGTTGCAGGGACACAGCGCAGACCAATTTAAAGCCACGGCAAGTGAGGGGGACATCGAGCCAGAGTGAAGATATTTCTACTGTGCAGAAACCCAGTGGGATTCGTTTTCTAGCTAGTTGCTTGGAACCTCGCTTTGGGCACAGGTTCCCCTGACACTGAAAGGCCTTTGGGTTGTGCCTTGTCCAGACGGAAGCACGAGATGCTGTCACCCCTTCCAAGGCTGGTCTGTCCATGATATGGGGCAAACCCTTACTTCAAAATGCCTGCTCAAAGGAGATACGGATGGGGCAGGCGTCAGATCCAAGCATTCTTTCTCCGTTAGGCATATTAACACTTTGCATTTTAAACATTTAAATTAGTAGTTGATTGCTATTCTGTTTGATTTATGATTTGTTGGATTTTTTTTTTTTTTTGGCATTTTCTTTTGCAATTGTATGGCTATTCCACTGAATTCTTTTTGTGTTTTAAAGAGTTGTGTCTACGGTCTGGAATCCTGAAGAAGACCTGAAGGCTGAGAAGCCAGGAGCTGTGTACTAATGCAGAATGCAATTCAGAAATAGAAGCTGAAATGGAGGACACGGGGACACAGTCCCTCCTTGGATGCTGACTCAACAGAGGGAAATAATAATTGAGGACAGATGCAAGAGAATTTCACAGTTAGCTCTGTGCAGGGGGCACTTGAGCCATGGAAAACTAGCACACCACGCCTGACTCTGTTTGGCTACAGGAGGGATGCGCCACTGGGTTAAAGAACAGCTCAGGGAGGGTTGCACAAGCTTCTGCCATTGCAAGCCATGCCCTCGAGCTACTAAGAGGCCTGCAGTGGCCCTGGGTCTGGAAGAGGGGGAGCCCCAGGGGACTCCAAACAGGTGTGGCAAGGTAGAACAGGCAGAAGACCACTCTCCGGTCCTGGACATGCGGGTTAGACACCAAGGGACGAGCAGACATGCTAGGAAGCTAACATTGACCATCCTGCTTTCAATTACAGATACTGAAACAGAGTATACATACTGGAAATGGCACACATTTAAAATGTTTGGTAGGAAACTTGCCAAAAGTAGCAACTGCTCCGGGGAACTTGCTGCCTTCTAGAAAAAGCAATCACTTAGCTGCGCTAAAATTAGTAATTTATTTTTAGCCACGTGTTAGAGTGACTTAACAAGAAGGGTAGCATAATCACAGTGTAAGCAAGAAAGATCAGGTGCAACATTTCTCCACATTTACCATAAAATATGACATTGCCGCACCAAGGAATGGAAACAGATGGAGTGTTCTGATGACAAACCCCTTCCTGCCGCCCGCGATTCAAAACGCTGAAGGAGTCTCTGCTAGGAGCCTGCAATTTTGCCCAAACCCCACAAGCAAGATACACGAGGACCTCTAACTTGAAACAGGCTTCCGAGTAGATGACAATTAAGGTGCCTAGAGTTGCTTCCAGGAACTTTTGGTTATACAAGGCCAAACAGGACACGCCAACCTGTGCAGGACAATGGTGTTTGGGGTAATGGTGAGGGATGGCTATGGGAATAGGCTAGAACCACACGATAGGCTACTGTGGGATTCAGCACATCGAGATTTAAATAATGAGCTGTGCACTATAATTAAAGACTCACAACATCCCTAGACTGCAGACAATCTCAGCTGACACTGATACTGACAGTGGGACAATCTCAGTTAACCCTGGGGGCTCATTTGGGGCTATTTAATTCATGACGAACTTAGCTCCCGGGACACCAAAGTACATGGGCAACTCTTGCTCACAGGTTATTCTGCTGTGCTACCTCCCTTAAAAGCCCTCACATAACCATAAAACAGACCGTGACTTCTATGAGGACTGTTTAACCCATGCATAACCCCTGACAGCCGTCTGACCTGATACGACTCCCAGGCGTGGGTTCAAAATATACAAGATGTTGGCGTCACACTATATGGTCACTGTGGAGTAGTTTGTTTTCTCTAATATTATTGTTGCCATCACTTAATATGCTGGGGAGTTGTTGAACTGATTCTCAAAACAAGAAAGCCAACTTTTGCTAAACTGGGAATTCAAGCACAAAAATCAAGAGCTACTATTTACTCATATAAGGCTGTATTTTAAATATGCTTGGAACAACAGGAGAAAAGAGATATTCACCAAGAGACTGCATCTTGGTTGCACAGTGTTTATCCTTAGCCACATGGCCAGAGTTAGTTACAAAACAATTTTAGGATAATACTCCAACAGAAATTTGGCTGCATTCCCAGCAATAAGACCATTTTCAGGATAACGCTATCTTAAATCTTTGCTGATGCCAAGGAAGGCTTTGTCAGTGATGCCATCTAAGGCCCTTTAAAAGTGAAAATTGCAGCACAATGTATGCATGGTGACTTTTGCATATCTAGTCCTTCTATCAGTGTTGGTGGAATTTATATGGATAGTTTAAACTCTCCCAGGGATGATTATGCCTACACCTTGACTATACCTATACCTCATTTAAGGCCTTCCATGCATTTCTTTTCAGTTAATGTCTGTTATCACCACTCCTTGATTACACAGAAGCCTGCAGTTAGCTTCACACGGACATCTAAGTGTCGGATAACAATTTATAGTTATATTGAACATGTGTAATACATCACCTTGATAGCTTTAAGCAAATAAGATGACTACACTGATATTAATAATAGCAGCAATTTTATGTTAAAAGCTGTAATGGGTGAGTTCTTACCCTAGAAAGTGGTCCACAAGTATTTTAAATTAAATAGGGCTACATTTCATTCAGATGATCTGAAGTGGAAGATTCAGAACTTGTTTAGGGTTCTAAAAGAATAAACAAACAAGCAAAACCTACACACACAGATCAGGTACACCATACAATTCTGCTTTCTGGCTAGCACCGTTGTGCTCTTGGGAAGCGGTATAGGACCATTCCTTCTTTCGGCCCCTTCTGTGGGATCTTGGTTAAGTCTCTCTTCTAGCCCCAGCTTCCCTTTTGCAGAATGGGAATCATTCCACAACTTTTGGAAAATACTCTGTACATTACAAGATCAGAATATTTACTGCAACTGAATTCTTCCACTGAATGCATTTCCATTTCAAGAAATATATTGGTTCATAAAATTAATTGCTAACATAATGGATACACCAATCAGCTTGATCATCATATATTTTAATCATCACATTTTCCAAACATAAACAAATTAGATTAAATCCAGCATGCCAAATCTGAACGTGCGTCATTAGATTCCAAATGAATTCAGGGCATAAGGCAGTTCTGATGATTTGCGCATGGATCCCGCTGACCACCCCTGTAAACTGAATAAAGGCCAGGCAAGAGAAGGTATGTTAAGAGCTGGTACTTCATTTAATAGTTTTTCTTCTGTTCGTGTGGCATTTGCTGTTAATTTTCATCATAAATACCAACAGGTTGCATACTATGGGTTTGCCACAGACCCTATGCAAACAGACTGATGGTGCCGATTTCTAAATCTAATTCTGTATTGTGCTACTTTTTGTAAACAGCTATGGCATAAAAGTGTGAATACTAATTTTTAAAAGTATGCTGATGGAGGTAACAAAGAGTGACTTGCTGAGAACTTCTACTGAATCCATAGCTGAGATAACAAAGGCACTTGGGACTTTTTTTTTCCAGATTTTGCCTTTATAGCAAATTCCACAGTTCCCTTTCTAACTATTAACAGGACGCATATATTTTGAGTGTGTCATTTTACCACTTTCAGCAGCTTACTGCCTTTAACACACACTTCTAGTGCAATTTGTTGACAACAGAAAGAACAACTACATACACAAGCAAACAGGCCCGCTATGCGCAAACACGCTCTAGCTCTCTCAATAACCCTCGATACATAGTTCTTCTCCTGGAGGAGAGAGCAAATATGAGGTATATAATTAGTTCAAGGGCAAAAAACCAGCGATTTTGTAACACAGTATCAATGTTGATGTAATGGGGAGACCAAGCCTGCTCCTTAACTCTGGATGGACATATCACCTCTACAAGCAAGCATATGCTTCCTTGACTCGCTCAACTGGCCAAAACCTTCATGCAACACCGATTTTTATATAGCACCATGCACTCGATTTTCCCATTCTTCCAGCAAACCAGAAAAATTTACCATTTCTCAGTTCATAGCTAGGCTTTCTGAGGGCTGGCACTTGAGAGATGGGGAAGCCATGACCAGTGAAAAACTGTCTACCAAGAGGTCACATAGTTGGGACAATTCCTGGAGCGCCCTGCACAGCCATGCCGTCGTAGGACTTCTGCGCTGGCGGGGGAACGCCGAGAGGTGCATGCATTACTTCTGCCTAAAGGGACACAGGACTGCACCCCGAACAGGGTGCTTTCCTCGAAAACTACACTCATGACACAATAGCACTTTTCTGCCCCTTTTCCGGCCCCAATGCGGGGGCCTGTGGCGAAGGCTTCTTCTGGGACTTGGGCCATGTCCAATTCCAGAAGGAGGGGAGGGGAGGGGAAGGGGGGCCCCTACCTGTCCTCGGCGGGAGGACCCACCGGGCTTTAGCAGGGCTCAGTCCCGGGCAGGTGCAGGCGGGCGGGACTGAGGCCTGACTCGGGGAGGGGCTCCCAGGACCTGCGTGAGGACGGCGCGCACAGGTGCGCCCAGGTGCGCCGCGCGTGCGGAAAGGGCGCCGTCCCGCTGCCGGAGCAGATCCCCGCGGCACGCGCCCCCGCGCAGCGCAGCGCAGCAGCGGCGGAGCGCCCCCGGGCGCGGGGCTCCCCGCGG